GAATAACCCCCCAAAAAACCCAAAACCGTCAAACCCCAGGCCTTCTGGGCCCGATGCCCACGTGTCACGCGACCCTGCAGCAGGATAACAGAAAGGTTTGTGAACGTTGGCTGGGCCGGAAACTTCAGTTCAGGCATGCAGGAGTCCCGGTTGTGAGTTGTGCCTGGTCCACTGCACTACTCCTGACACAAAGGAAAATCAAGTCTCCTGAGCAGTTGACCTGAACCCCTAGCCCAAGACAACTAACGTGACATGGTAGGCCTAAGTTGGATTCCTAGATAGATTGTCCGGGCCTTTGATTGACCCCTCCACCCAGAGATTCATTGGAAAACCCGAACGAGTGCCCTCAAAAGCGCTTCCAGAACTGCCTCCCAGCTCGTACAGATCGCGGCCATCTGCCGTGCGGTTGTAGGAGGCGTCGTTGCCTGGTGGCTATTCGCTTCGGATTAGTCCGTTACCCCTCCACCCAGATCAGATAATATTGGAAAGCGCGAACGAATGCCCTCAAAAGCGCTTCTAGAACTGCCTCCCAGCTCGTGAGGATCGCGGCCATCTGCCGTGCGGTTGTAGGAGATGTCGTGGCCTGGTGGCAAGTCGCTTCGTATTAGCCCATCATTAATAAATGAATAAGAAAAAAGCTAGCGGCTTCGGAGTGTCCTTTGTACTGTTTTGGCTTTTATTTCAAGAATTCAGGATTACACTCTGTCTGTATCTAGTTGTGAGTCTTGCAGTACATGGTTCCAATCCAGTCTGGAGCAGTTCGAGCATTTGGTTTGGAATGTATGATACTACTTTGGGAGAGGAAAACTACACAGTATCATAGCCATTAACTTAACAGCACGCACTACTTTATGATATTTTGGGTGAGGAATACTACATATTATTACGGCCAGTACACACTACTTCATTCATGCACGGCACACTGACTCAATAATTGTGAGCTGGATTCCCAGACCCAACATCTTGACCCCAGGTCCCAGACGAAACAGAACCTAAATATTAAAGCTCCGAAGTCTCAGAAACCCGATATCCCTGCCTGGTCGCTTAGTAAGTAAGACTTACTTTGCCTGCGCTGCTAGCGAAATCCCACGCCCCACCCTAAGGCCCTATGCCCTCTCTTTACTATAATATGAGCTGTAGTCTAAACTTAAAGTCCGTCATGGGGGGTTGCAATAGGGAGTATACAGGGGACTATTATAGGGGAGATTAAGAGGGATAATGGGACTTAATAGGAGTTTAAACTTTTGGTCCTTTAGGGCACTTTCTCTCGGACGTGCCTGCCCAGGGGAAAGACGCGGGAGGGGCCACGTTGGTCTGCATGTAACCGCTGGGGCTTAATACCGGCAGGGATCCTGCTGCGGCTGTGAACGGCATGCCAATGCCAAAGCTGGGCGGCGGCGCGGCCTTCGCAACAGTGCCAAGATTGCTTTGTGATGGCCTGGGATCTGGTGGACAAGCGGCAGTGCTGATGCCCGGAAACACTGGCAGGTTGGTCCAAGTTGGAGATGCTGCGGGAAGGCTCAACGAGGGAGGATTGGCTGGCATGTGGCAGCCTTGCGGTGGCAACACGGCTGCCAGGGAGGCAGCTGGCGGGGCAGCAGCAGGGCAGCCTTGCGGTGGCACCGGTGGCACAGCAGTTGGCAGGGAAGGAGCTGGGCTGCTTTGCGCTGGCAGCGCAGCTGGCAAACTTTGCGGTGGCGTCGCACCTGGCAAGGAAGAAGCTGGGAAGCTTTGCAGGGGCGTCGCACCTGGCAAGGAAGAAGCTGGGAAGCTTTGCGGTGGCAAGGCAGCTGGCAGCGAAGGAGCTGGGCAGCTTTGCGGTGGCAAGGCAGCTGGCAGCGAAGGAGCTGGGCAGCTTTGCGGTGGCAAGGCAGCTGGCACCGAAGGAGCTGGGCAGCTTTGCGGTGGCAAGGCAGCTGGCAGCGAAGGAGCTGGGCTGCTTTGCGGTGCTTGCGAAGGACGTTGTGGGCTTGGTCGCGGCGGGGCTTTGGTTGGAGCCGGGCTGCTGGGTAACAGTGCAAGCAACGCAGCAGGAGTACTTTCGGCCGGTACCGGTGCAGTGGCTGCAGGTGGCAGGGTGCTGGGCAGCGGCGCTCGGACAACAGCGGGTTCAGGACCAGTCGGGGGCAGCGCTGGCGGAGTGTTCTCGGCCACTGCACTTGTTGGTGGAAGGTCTGGCCTGGGGTTGCTGGTTGTTTTGGGCGGCAGCCCCTTCATGGCTTCCTGAATGTAGCCACGCCCGCAAACGCCACATGTTCCCCGCTCCATGTCGCAGTAGCACACCAGCTTCACCGGGGTGTCGGCTGCACCTGTCAATGAACAAACCCTAAACCCTAACAAACCCTGAACCCCAACAAACCCTAAACCCTAACAAGCCCTAAACTAAACCTTAACAAACCCTAGCCTAAACCCCAACCAACCCTAGACCCTAACAAACCATAAACCTTAAATTAACAAACCCTAAACCCTAGCAAACCCTAAACCCCAACAAACCCTAAACCCTGAAAAGCCTTAAAGCAAACCTTAACAACTCCTAAACCCTAAGAAACCCTAAACCCCAACAAACCCCAAACACTCACAAACCCTAAACCTTGACAAATCCTAAACCTGAACAAACCCTAAACCCCAACAAACCCTGAACCCTAACAAGCCCTAAACTAAACTAAACCTTAACAAACCTTAAACCCTAACAAACCCTAAACCCCAACAAAGAGAATAACACTGGGCCCAGGCACCAGGACCCGCGTGGACCGGCCGGACGTCCCTCACAGGCTCTGGAGCATGTGTCGTTCCGGGTGGAAGCCTGGCGGCACCGGGCGGTGGGGCGTCGGTAATGCGCTGCCGGGCAATGTCCAAGTCGGGCAGGTAGTCGCGATCCTGCTCCTGGTGCAATATGGCTTTGTGGTGAATATGTAGAAAAAAAGTTAGACAGTGGCCCAAAACCATCCGAGCTTTCATCCATTTAGTTTCTAAGAGGTGTGTCCGTATAAGACAAGCATGAACGTGAGTTTCGAAACTATTCTGAGATGGCGCAATGCTAAGTTTCACGGTCTGTGGCTCATGGATTAGCAGTACTTACGGGGCTTAAGGTTTTAAAGAGCATCTCTCACGTTCAGAATTGATCTTCGTACTGGCTGTTCAGATGTGTGATCCAGTGTTGATGACCGGTCCTTGCTCTGGAATGGACTGATCGCCCACATTCTGGAATGGCCTTCGTCATCCAAATACGGC